TTAGGGTCATCCTGACACTCATCGTAAGCTACTTGATGAAGAGTACGAACTGCCAAAAAAGGTGCTGAAGCTGTCCCAAAAGTTACAGTTATCAGTTCGTATTCCTCTATGTCTTGGTCTGATGAATCCCTCCATAAAATACGCTGAAATATTGTATCCCTACGATCGACTAATACTTGTCTGTACATTTTGACGATATCGGCGACAAGACATATAGGATTTATTCTCCAGCGCATGATGATATGACGAAGATCAGCCTGTAGTGCTGGCCCAACCAATAACATATCATTTAAGGAAATCCCATTGGGACCCTTACAGGAAGCATCGAATACAACGCGAACTTTAGTTGTAATCTTATCGTCCCTAACGACAGCATGGTGAGGTAAGTATACAGGTGTTTGACTGTTAATTTTATTATCTGTTATTTTTTCCATGTGACCTAGTTCCAAATATTCTCTAATAACATTCTTGTAGTTTTCTTTTAATGTAATATTTTTATTTAACCTTACCTCTAAACTTTTAAATCGTTTTTCAGCTATAGCTTTCGACTCACCAAACTGAGGCACCATGCCGGTATCGTGAAACGGTAAGCGTACAACATACCGACCCCTCTCGTTTCGGGTTGTCGTAGCAATGAATAACTCCTCGCATTTAATTTCTTCATCGGTAAGCATGCTACTGATTTCAGACGGTTCATTTTCTAGTTCCCAAAAGCGTTTTAATAAATCGTCCGTTTCAAAACTAGCATGCATCACAGTAATGTGTGAAGAAATATGGGAAGTATTGTCTACGTCAGATACGCCCGACACTATCCACCCGAGTGTTGTATCTTGTGCTAATAAAGTACCACTCAAATCACGCTTAATGCCCGATTGAATGATCTGGCTATAAACCTCAGTGCCCAACAAAATATCAATTTTGTTGGGCCTGTAGTACTCAGGATCCGCCAAGTCATTTTCTGTCAAGTCTACCCATTCTACTCTTGTTACTTTCGTTACCGGGAGAAGGGCAGTCACCGACTTTAGTACATAGGCATTAACGTTTATGTGAAGGTTAGGATTTTTCCTAGACCTTATCTTGACCGTGACGGTGTATTTTGATGTAACACTTTTCTCACCGCCGACACCTAACACTATGTTCCTTGTGGCAGTCCTATTTAAACCTAAATATTGGACCATAGACTCCGTAATGAAGGATCCTTGCGACCCTTGATCTAGCAAAGCCCTAATCACCCTGTATGTACCATCTTTCGACTCAGCCTTAACCAAAGCCGTGGTTAACAACACTGTTTTACTATTCCCGGTCGAAAGACAGGACACCATTGTCTTGCTAGGGTCTGACCCTTGCGCGATAACTTCTTTCGTATGCGCCTTTAAACTATTTGTAGATGAAACTCCCGTTCGAGAATCACTAACATTCTCAACAAGTGGCCCGGTATCCTCAGTGTCCTGGTGCAACAATGAATGATGACGGCGCTTACACGTTTGACACCGTACTGGAATTTTACAAACTCGGGCAGAATGATTGCTTTTAAGACAGATAAAACATAAGTTATTCTCCTGAACGAACTGTCGTCGCTTTGCAACAGTCTCTTTAGTAAACACCTGGAAATTGCCTATTTTATGATTTGCTGAACAAAAAGGACACCCTCTATCTTTAGAACCCTTGTCTTTAACCGCAAGAAAAGACTGCATACCCTTTTGAGGATTCTTGGGCACTTTGGACTTTATTTCAATACCTTCAAGACCTCTAAATCGACCGGTAAGAAAACGAGAGAATTCTGAAAAGGTGGGTAGTTCCTCATTAGAGTCTTCAGAAATTTTTAATTCCCATGCCTTTCTTGTATCATTGTCTAGTTTTTCACTAATAATATATATTACAATAATATCCCAAGAGGAAATATCGACACCTAAATTTTTTATAGACTCCAAACAGTCAATCGTAGTATTTAATAAATATTTTATTCCAAGAGCTGATTCATTCAACAATGGCTTTTGAGTGAGTAACCGTTTAAGTATACCTTTTGCCAAAAACTTTTTATTATTATAAGTAGTATCTAATTTTAACCACGCCATTTCATAATTGTCACACGTAACCTTTATGTTTCGAAGCAATTGCTCTGCTTCGCCCGTAAGATGTCCTTTCAAATAATAAAATTTTTGTGACTCATCCAAACCACCATTGTTGTGTACCAACCCCAAAAATAAATCCCTAAATGTTTGCCATTCCGAGTACTTTCCAGAAAATATAGGAATCTTGATTTCTGGTAACTTAACTCTGTTTTTAAAGTTTTTATTTTGACCGTCATATTCTATTTGTGAAGAAGTCGAAGTAGCCGTAAGTTTCATTAACATTTCTTTCAGTTCAGTTTTATGTTCTATGTATAATTCTTCGACAACATCATATAAACCATTTTTATGATAATCTGAATTATAAAAATCTGCCCTTTTAACTTGTGTAACAACATTACTGTGGTTATTACTAAACATTTTCCACTGTTTCTCGAAGTTCTCTAGCCTTGTTTCTACATACGCAATGGTTCGTCGTTCTTTAGGGGACTTTTTAAAATTACTAACTGCCTTAAGCATTTTTTCCCTAATATCCTCTTGCAGAATATCGAATGACTCCATATTTATAAACGTAGGGCAAGAATCAGTGACTCAATTAACTATTACAAAATATAGTTTTAATGTTATACAGCACACAAAGATGTAGGTAAAATGATAAAAATAAAAACGTAATCTCGAGAAATTGTAATCATAACCCCAAGTGCGTATTTGAAATACAAGGCAAAATTATTACAAGTCTGAAATGCCACAAATTTTTCTAAGTGTTTTGCGTTTTATTTTTACTGGGTTTGAAATCGGGCATAGGTTCCCCGTCTCAACCACTTTTTACTTAAAACTAACACAAGTCCCAACACCAAACAAATTCTAAAGGCTAAAATAAATCTCAATATTACTATAAATTATTCTAGGTCACTAGTGTCTCTAAGGTTGAAAATACACTAACTTCAATACGTTTATCTTCTTATAAATAAAAATTTAAATGTACTCACAGTTGTCCGCGCTCACACCACACAAACCGATTCACTTCCAAATCCAAGTTGAAGTGTTGTACCAGTGTCGACCTCTAGCGGTCGGTCTTCGAAGTTGCGTTGTCGTCGTTGGCGACCCTTCTGCTCACACTACAAGTTCCGTACGGTATCGCTTCTCCTGCCTGTTCCCGGTGGCGCCTCTTGAATGTTGAAACAACTCTTGGCACCACTCAATTGCTCCTCCAGCGCTCGACACCTTCCTTGTGCCCGCTGTAGGGAATTATGCTCTGATCCGCAATCCACGGACCAGTCCTAACAAGGCGGGTGATACCGTATCACCACCGAAGAGCTACCAAAAAAGCGCTTTACGTATTCCAGAATCCAGCTCGCAGGACCATGAACACGTTTTAATTCGGAATACCGGCGCTTTGTTATTAAAACAACCAAATGCAGTTGAACTTCTTGTATTCACACAACGAATCAAATTTACAACTCCAAATGCCGACAAAAACACTTTACATCGCCAAGTATATTTACCTGCCTTGGTAACCAAACGATAGCGCGACTCAGATAACCGAGAAAGCGCCATCTATCGAGTGGCAGGTGAAACTTTTAGTAATGCTTTAGACAGTCGTAAACATGCGGTCACCGCTATATTTGTGTGAACTATTTGGGAACTGACGCGAGTAGTGTTGCTAGATGGCCTAATTTTCAAGGGACGCCTCGAATTTGGTGGATCTGTGCTGTAAGCCCAAGACGATGCCCGCATGCGCTGAGGGAGGGAAAATAAAGCTTTGCAAGCTCATCTCTCTTGGTGCTTTTTGTTTGTTAAGTCAATCGGTTCTCAATCACTTTTGCCAACCTGTATTTTATAAACGTACAGTCTTGTGAAGGGGGTCACTAATTGGACTTCTCTATCAAGGATGGAGTGGTGGCACTGAGTTGTACCTAATGGCATGTCACGCTGGCAGTTCGAGATCACAGCTTTGCGATTAAGAAAATCTAGTTACTTTAAGGAACTAACTATCACTTGCGTTAGTATTTTGAGGATACGTTTACTATGTTCTTGATTAAAGCTTGTTTGGTATTTCGATATACATCGAGCTACGTTATGTTCTGCTAGTGGAACGTGTTCTCAGCCGTTGAACAGCTTCAAGAAGTCCAAAGTTAATGGCAACTCCCGGGAGTACGTACGTGTATGTGTTATAGGCAGGCGCTAGGTGCAGCGACCGCGCGGCCGCCACCCGACCCTGACCGTCATCATCTCTATTTATACCGCGCGTGCAGCGGTCGCTAGGCGCTCCACTTGTTACGTACACTGTACACACGTGCTATGTATACGGGCGCGTATACCACGCTCTAGGAAGCGAACTAGTCCGGCTTCAGAGTTCATGCCGACCACGGAACTACGAAACATCGGATCATTGCTTGTATACATTGTGAGAGAAGTCAATGCCCGTGATACCTTACAAATTAAAATGCTCTCTACTGGAATACCCAATTGGAAGGTAGGCAACAAAGGTGTGTCTTAAAATTGAGCAGGAGTCGTTGAAATAACGAATACGCAAAGTGTTTTTGATTTTCGGTATCTTGTTAATCTGGAAATTTGAAACGAATTTATTGCGAACATGATACTTATTTTACCTAGCAGGAAAACTGTCAGTTAAATTCCACAACGCTGCTTCTCTAAGATGTGACGAAATATATTGCATTGCAATTCTACAACTAGATAACTTCAAAAAATTTCATTGGCTGACACGAATCCCTTTAGCAGGCTCGGGAGGCTATTTATCACCGAAAAGGTTTTTACGAATTGTTTAAATGGACAAGGCAATATCTGTTCCACAAACTTGCGTTTATTATTAGTTAAACCCGCCATCACTTGTTCAAATAAGTATCTATTAAAACAACCAAACGCCCACTTAGTTAACATGTGTATACAGTTGTAAACTACACCGGTGTTATGTTGCAATGTTTATTATTACTGCATGCAACTCCTCGTAAGAAACTAGGCATGGGCAAAGAAAAAATACAATTATGTGATATCGTTATTATGGTGAGGTTGCACAAAGCTTGCTTTTTGTATCCGTAATCCGTGCTGCAACTGAACGGAAACATTGTGCGTGGTTGTGTTCGTGTACTACGTGCGTAATTAAATCTCTATTGTACTTTGTAAGGCTGCTCAGGGTACTGTTACTATCGCCTCTACTCTCGTACTCGTATGGTTACATAGTAGGTTATGTTCCTCTCAGAAGGTATCTATTATTGAAACTGAAAATCTCTTCATTTCAACCCAACTCTGAAAGAAGGTGCGATACTGTTCTTGTTTTTTTTAATGTTCGTCCGATCACTCGACCATTACTGGTCCATAACAAAGTGGGTGCTAATTATTGTTTATAATATAATTTAGTAAAAAGATATGCCGCCGGTGAAATATAATCAGGACCTGGGTTTAGTCGCTTTATGGAGCCATTCATTTGGTATGATCTACGAAAAACAATTTTCATGATCTATGAAGATCAATTCCCTTACAAAATCTTCAAAACTCTTCGATCACACAAATGTCATAAAAACTTAAAAAGTATTTCCATAGTAAAGTATTACACATACAACGTTGACGGAAATGTGATTATATGGTATTGTGACCGAAAGCGGAATCGGTATTCTGCTAGTCTTAATAATGCTTTACTATTTTTAACGAAAATACCTTTAATGACATTTGTGAAATCCAAAGTAGATCGTAATTGAATTTTAACGATTTTTTATTACGAGAATGTCCCGTCTGCTTTTCTTATTTCTTCTTCTTTTTCTCGTTTGATGGGCATTACTTAAAAAAATACGAATAAGAAATATTATTTGTAATAATCTTTGTATAAACTAAATAAAGAGAATACAAAAAAAATGTGAGGCAATTATGATAAAAATATGAACATGTATCGGAAGCCTTACTTGAAAGGTTATTGACACGCAAGGGTGGGTTGGGTAAGGTTTACCTCGTCGTTCGCCCTTACCGTGTGTCTCACGTGACGGTCGGCTTCGAGTATTAGGGTAAGTCTAGATGAATGAACTGATTATACGTAGTCATTCGGAAGAACGCGATGTATTGTATGATGTGCTGCATAATTAGAAATCTAGTCCTAATTAAGTTACTAACACAAAAGATGTACTTATCTTTCTCGATAGTTTCATTGAATTTTGTGAGGTTATTAGTGGTCTTTTGAAATGTATCTATGGGCTATAAGAAGTTTCTACGAAGCTGAGATTATAAAACACATCCACACGTCATTTGTTACTGTGTAAACAAATAAACCACCAGAATCATCATCATCATCATCAACAGCCTATAACAGTCCACTGCTGGACATAGGCTTCTCCTTAGAAAGGAGGTTTTGGCCTACTATATCGCGCTGGCTAGACGGGTTGATATAGGGGTTGTTTCAAGTTTTCCTTTTCATTGCAGTGCTGTTGTCCTGCGTAGTTTGCTGCCTTAGTTGGGAGTAGACACCCACGGGATGAAAAGGGGGTGGTGACATTCCGTATTCTTAATCCCACCACACGGACTACCAGAATATTGCTCAGTAAATTGAAGAGATTTCACAAAAATTACTCTCATTGCTCGCGGCTTCGCTCGCATTAGAGTAATTGTTCATTTTTCGTTTTGAATGTAAGCTACCCCCGGTCTTTTGCTGTATCTTGGCAACGCGTATGAAAAATGTAATGTAACAAACGTTGTATAATTACAGGTTTTTAAACAAGTACATCTGATAGCGAGTGTTGAAAATTTGATAAGACGCTATAAACCAATTACCAGTTTATCGTACACAATCGTATATGTAAAGTAAACATATCTTTAATCAGACACTTAATACATATTTCATGATTTTGTTATTGGTTTGACAGACAGGATAATCCGTAGTCTCGTATTATTAAAAGTAAAGCGGGTCGCTTATTATAAGTATTTTTAGTATCTCTCTCTCTGTCTCTAAATGCTAGGTTTGTTGACCGACTGAACAAAGTTTCATCATCTCAGGTCAAGGCTATCCTGTTTCAAGTCAAGCTTTCGTGCGTCTACATGTACTCCTATTATACTATTCAATTTTTTAAGATATTTTAGTCTAGGTTAGTTTTAATTACACAATTAAAAAATAAGGCAGGAAAATTTTGTATGGAACTTTAATGTCTCAAGTTATATATATACCCTATTGCTTGCAGGATTACTGCTGTATGTGGTTATTACGTGTACAGAAACAGTTACCATATAATAATTGTTATTGAAACATGTACCTTCATTATTAGCTACACTTTGTTCCAAGCACCGGCACGCGATATTGATTAGTTTTAACAAAGGTTGTATCAACATTGGTCAACATGAAAGTGTCTCGTACAAATAGTATATATTATATGTATACACATAGCTGTCGTGTCTCCACCCAAGCGAACATTATAACTCCTGACGTCTTCCTCTTTACACATCATATACTTTGTGACAAGGCCTCAGTTGTTAAATCGTACTCTTATAATATAATAATAATAACTAACACATCTCATACGTGACTGTCTGCTCCTAATTTGGGAACTATACTATGGTAACCAGTCTGCTGAGAAACATAGTCATATATTCTAAAATTTTTAAATAATATACACAGAACCTCATCACACAATTATTTGTCTTGGCTGGGAATCTAATCCACGACCTACGAATTAGCAGTCAAGGTCACTAATGACTAGACCAACGTGCGAGTTCCACACTTATTTGGTATTGTATTATAATATTTTTCTTAGTATTCAGTTTTTACGATCGATATAAAGGCACATTTCTACCTAAACATACGTCAAGAGTATTAGGAAAACAGGACAAAATTGTTCTCATAGCAGCATTGAAGAATTTGTAATGTATTTCTTAGATCACATTTAAAGAAACCGGTCGGCATTTGTTGCTATGACTCTTACGCTTTCCGGAGACACACCATAAACAAACACATAACCGCCGAAATGCTATCTGTCGGTAGTCTTACGAGGTGGGCATTCCCCGCGAAAAATATCTGCATACATTAATACGTTAACACTAATTCTACCGTTTTTGAACGTTGCTTTTTAAATTTGGCATAAATTCAAATAGAGACAATAAAAACGAATCTTTCTGAAGTTGTTTTATTTATGGACTTTTAAATTGATTCCAGTGTCCATTTGTAATATTTTATTGAACGCGTAACGATCGAATGATACTAGCTCAACGACTGCTAATAAACATACTTGTATATTTCAAAATACATACATATTATAAATAAATTACACACAGAACGAATGATTGTGCTAATTACATAATTACTTGTCGGGGTTGGGAATCGAACCCTTGACCTCTGACTTAGCAGTCAGGTTCATTATCAAACAGGCCAGTGGAATATATTTAGGCCGGGCGCACACTACTATTTTTACGGCGCCGCGCCGCAAGTGTTGTAATTACCACCTGTAATCGGGTATCCCCTCGTATAATCAGCATTAAACGTGAAATGTATTTGTCCGCAGGAGGCAGAGCTGAGCACCTGGACTGCTTTCCTGCAGCGCGCTGTCGAAGCCACGTACAACACTGAGGTCGTCATTGACAACTTGCACAATATGATTGGTGAGGCCTGACGAGACTTAGCTTTTATCTTTGAACGCGCTAAAGCCAGGATCTCCAAGCTCGATTTAAAGATGTTCCTTAGGTAAACCTGTCTTAAGATAACCTGTCGACAATGCTAGTGAAGGTTCTTTAAAACTGCATGCTGTGCCAAGGAGCGGGCCAGTAATCCTGCAAAAACTAAAGCAGGTGAAGTTGGTTGGTAAAGATGGGTTGATCCAAGTACACAAATTGACATTGCCAAAATAGCAATTATATGAGTATGTATGATATATTATAAAACCGTACAAAACTGTCGAACTGTCATGATGTCAATACGTTATAACATTTTTAACAATTTGCATGAATCAGCTGTCAGATAAACATTGGAGCTAATTTATAAAAATAAAGCTAATGTTGAATTTCGTGCTAATATATTAACATCTGTTCTATCCGACTTCGTCGCGTGAAAATTAAATGTGAATTCTGATATCACTTGTACAGGTCGAATTGATTTTTCTATGGCATAAATATAGTATAGAAACACGAAAAATCATATGTTATTAGTAAATCTTCAAATTTTCCAAGACCTTAGTAACTTTGATGTTGTCAGTTGTCGACTACATTGTTAGTTAAAACACCTAATTTTTAAACTCTTGACTAATGCGCCAAAACGTCAGTCGATTGTTTTTGCAAACTAGTTAAATCTGCAGTCGTTTTACAGAATAACTAAATTATTTGGTACATATCTATTTGAACTAGTACGGGACTTAATAGCTAGAAAATAGTCTATTTTCTATATCAGCCACATGAAAGCCGCGAAAAGCTTTTGCACCTCGAAGATGTAATCATATTTTTAAGATCTTAGGTCTTAAAGCGTTCTCAAGCAACGCGTGGGTTATTTGCAGTGGGGCTTATCCCATCCGGCTCAGCGTTCTGCGCACCACATCGGTGTATGACATGCAACAACACGACACCCGCTATAAAATTGTTTTATGATGGACATAAACCAAATCGGCGGTGCGACGGTTCGGCCCGATGCTCTCGTGATATCATGTCCTTGTGCGTGGGCCGTTCCCTGCGTTTTCTGTCACAGTATACTTCTCAAGGCTAAGATTTCAGTTGGATCATGTCTGTATCAGAGAAATCTATGCGTTTCTATTGACGTTGACAGTTTACATCTTTGTAATAAAATTAGTAATTTTGAAAGCTGATTTACGTCTTAAGGACTTCTCACGCAACTTTATATCGCTTAACAACGGTTATGCACCGCTAATATGTGTTATTATCAACTGTCACTATTGTTAAATATCGAAGGTGAAGTAAATGTATGTGTTTACAGCTGAGCAGCGGCGCTGCGTGCGGGAGGTGTCTTCTAGCACCGTGTTCACGTCCCTGTGCGCTGACGGAGACGCCCGCCCGGCCGCCGGCGAGCGCGAGGCCGAGGCCGACGGTGAGGCCGAAGCCGCAGCGACGCCCGCCAGCTCGAGCGTGAGTACCAGTGTCACGTCTCCGCTGGACCGGCGGGCTCCGTCGCTGGCCTGCAGCACGCCCATCGCGCGCGACTAGCTACCGCGTACCCGCAGCTACTTCTGCTGCCTCTCGAGCATTAAGCGGTGGATTTAGTGCGCTGTTTACCTTTACTAGTTAGTACTCTACGTTTTGTCTTTTATACTACGATACAGACACACCGGTAACTTTTGGTGGCGGTCACTTCGACTGATGCACCTACAGGCAGGTAGCGGAACAGAAAGTGGCTGGTGCGTTTGACGCCTTACATCGTACAAAAAAATTCCCACTAGTGAAGCTAGAACACACCCCCGAAGGCTAATTGTACAAGACGCCTCCGTTGTTAACAAAATATAATGTACTAAAGCGTATATTGCAGTTGTGTTACAGCTGTACTGTACTGTTCGGTCTCTGATGAGGGAAGTGCTCAGCACGAAGGTGGCGTGTCTCGTATTGTTACTACAGATAGATATAAATAGCGATCGCCCCATGGCCACCCGACGGCCGAGACCTTGACGTAGTCCAAATTATATTTTTATGATTTTGTAATCAATATGCGAAATGCGCCAAAACACTCAGCACTTGAAATTCGCCCGAATATTTACAGTGTTGCCATCATCGTTCTGACACAAAGCTCCCTGCTCACTGTGCTGTAACGATTTAAAAGCTTACAGTGAGAATAAAGAACTCTAGAGCGCGTAATAGAATGTAATATAACATGTTAAAAGCGTTCAAATGTGGATTAATGGAAAGAAATAGATGATAGTGAGCAGTAAGCTATAATCGTATGGCGTCCGGTGCATGACGCTCGAAATAAAGTATGTAAAGTCATTCGAGCGATAAAATATAGTGAATCGTTCGTGTAACGTCGAGTACAAACTGTTGCTTGTGTGTTATCATGTGTCTAACACTGCCTTATAGCGTGTGTTCAACTCTACGTAACTGCCCAATGTTTACTCGTATCTTCCTTGGATTAGGTGTCTTTACTAATTATATTACGTGTTGAGTAAATTACTAGTGTCTACGATGTATTCTATTCACCCGCGCTATAGTGTTTTGTATGTATTAAGGATAAATTACACGAGGATAATTTCTGGTCGAAGTATACCTTTTTAATTTCATTTAATTAAAAATGAATGAAAAATTGAAGTATCTTAACTCATGGAATGTAAGAGTTATCAAATAGATGCTAGACGTCTACGTGTAGCTGAATTGCGAATGTTGAGCCGGATGTGTGGCGTGACTAGGAATATATTAGAGGAGCCTGCAAGTAGGGGCAGTGGATGAAAAGTGGGGAACAATAGGTTATCATGTTGTAAAGAGGATTGTATATACCTATGATTTGGCAATGCACATGATGATGCTTGTAAGTTGCCGCCATTTACTGACTGGCACGGTGACATTCATAAAAAAATGGTTATTAATATCATCATCATCATCATAAACACTAGTCCACTGCTGGGCATAGGCCTCTCCTTAGAAAGGAGGTTTTGGCCTACCATACACGATTGCCAGATGGGTTGGTATAGGGTTTGTTTCAAGTTTGCCTTCTCTTTGCAGTGCTGTTGTCCTGCGTAGTTTGTTCCCTTAGTCGTCTCTTACGACACCCACGGGATGAATAGGGGTGGTGACTCTCTGTATTCTTAATCCGTCACCACACGGACTTGTTAATATAATATGCACATATTATTTACTACAGTTCACGCTCACTGTAGATTATACTTTTACAGCAACTATGATCCGAGTACCGCGTAAAAACGTGAACTGGAATATTATACAGTTGTGTATATTCAATAATTATATTATGTGAACAAATTATGCAATCTCTGTTTGTTTGAGCTACAAATATTAGATAATACTAAAGAATATATATATAATACATGAATCAAACGTATTGTTACACTTTCTACACACGCTAACGAGCACCGTATGATTCACAACTGTCTGTGAGCCGCAGCGTGAATAATTCTTCGCAGCTCTCAGTTACATGTCCTCGTGTAAAAGCCTTAACGCATAGAAGTGGGCATTTTTATTACTAGTGTTTTCATATTATCCGCTTCAGCAGTCGCTCCACTTCTAGTTTCCCCTTTCGTAAAGGTCATAACGTGATGGTTCATTGCCTATAACACAGGTTATAGGCAATGAACCATCACGTTACTACTTATTCAACTACTTATTCAATACGCTAGTAGTTTCAGAGATAAGCGCATCAAACAAACAAATCTTCAGCTATAAGTATTTGAATATCAACGTAATTGTCGTTCTACAAAGATTATAGTTTCCGATTTCTCTCCTTACGATCGGAGCGAGCGGTTTCATTACAAGTGATATATTTGCGCTTTAATTATCGCTCAACGTATCAGTGTGTAGTAATATCGCGCTTTCGCCAATTGGCGTGCGGGCGCCACGCTTATTGTTTTATTGATGTACAATTATTGTTTCGTGTCAGTCACACACAGTAACTGTCATCGTTGATGGAGATATTTTATCATAAAGTAATATTAGCTACAAGAAAAATGTCAGGCGTTGTGAAATGCAACCGGTTATTGAAGAAGTTAAAGTTAAAAGCTGTTTTGTAAAATTGTTGTTGGCTTCACCAAAGTTGGGTGTTCATATGCCTCATCCACTTTATGAAACATACATACAGCTGCTTCTACACATATTGCTATTATTCATGAGGAGATTCTATGTGCTGTAGGAAACTTTAGGTACTCAGAAACTTTTGTAATTAACCATTAACGATTCAACAGTCTGCGTCAAGTGACGGCACTTAACAGTACAAGGTCAGTAGGACCTTTATGAATATTTACATGTGTTGAATCCGTGATTCTGTGTGATGTAGTTTTTGCAATGGAATTTATGTTAACTGGAAAATATAAACGAATAGTTCACATAAATAAGGTGCTTTTTATACCAGCAACATTTGTTGTCATATGTGCCTATTTATTATCATTAGCTATCGAATAATCTTGTGCACTCTATATTTAATATATGAATGAAATTTAAGTGTTAACGCTACGGAGTTTATGGTGCTGTGTATGTGTTATTATTATACTTTAGTGCTAGTAATTAGAACTGCCTTTACATTATTGTCACCCAAATCTAATTGTTTTATAACTTAATTAGAAGGAAGCACAGTTGAAATTACTATGTTCTTGCTTTGCTCTCATTAAGCGTGGATATGTCGTGTTGTGTACACGTGGGCCGCTTGGCCATTGCACGTGTGATCACATAGGTGTAGGTTTTCGATACTTTTACATAACTGTTAGGTCTGTTAGTGTAGCCCCCCCAGCAGCGAGCGAGGGAAGGGGAAGGAGGGCGCGTTATCTCATTGTAATTAGATCTGATTATTGTAACGTAACTTTGTACAAATGATTATTATGCTTGAACGTTATTCAATGGCTTTCACAACTTACGTGTAATACAGTATTATTATATTTACTATTCAATATTATTATTATATATCTCTCGTTGAATGCACTCGCGTCCACCAGTCTAATGGGACTCAAAGCTAATAAATGCCACGGGCAATGTTTGACAACTCCTGTATATGTATATAGGCGTTGGTGGATGCGTATAAACTTGTTATGTATTTCCGTATTGAATTATTTGTACGTAAGTTTATAGAGAGTGTTGCCAAATTTTACTTAGTACCTATACATAGTGTGGGCGAGCCTCACTGCCTCGAAAGCTTTACGATATATAAATATATTTGTTTGGCGATATATTCATGTATTTTAATATTATAAATGAATTGTTGTTACATTTGAAGCTATAGAAAACGAGATATAATTGTATACGTGGTGTATATTATCGCAATGTGATATAACAACGAAAGGTTTAAGTATATGTAACACTTGCTACAGCGGGACCCTTACTAACGTATTGTCTGAGCAGTGATGTGGCGCCAGGAAAATGTTCCACACATCATGTAACATTAATTTGAACGAGACTATACAAACAAAATCTGTGTGTCAAAATGAAACACTCTAAATGTATTTGATGTATGTTTAAGTTTATTTTTGTATTGTCTTTTAAAACCCTATATTTTGACAGCCACTCGACGACTGTTGTTGAATCCGTCATTTTCTTTATTATTAACATATCCATGAGACACTGTGATGGCCAAACTACGCAATGAACGTGTAACTATAACACAAATTTTAAGCAATAAATACCTACTAGTATTTTGTTCACCATTAGACTAATAATATTACAATATGTTATTTTATATTCTCATGTATGTGTTTTTTCTGTCTTGAGAATAAATTCTTTAAACCGATGTATAAATGTAAGGATATAAAGGTTTCCAAATAAATCCAATCATTTAGATCAGAGATTTCCAAAGTGGTCGATATGGACCCCTTGGGGTCGAAATCGGTTTCCAGGGGTCGATATAAACGAAAACTGATTATGGGGGTTGAGGAAGTCTAAAAATCGACCCCTATTAATTAACACAAGTTCTTATTTGATACTCAAGATACTGTATAAGTTGTGTTACGTGTACCAACTTGTTATAAGACTGCCTAATATGTTTATTTAGTTTGTTAAATGTTGATTAAAAGTGATGACAAGTTTACTCACTTAACCAACGGCAAAGTTTTTCAATTTATAAGTATTTTGAATCAATAAGAAGATTTTGAAGAAATAAGATTTTAAAGTACTTTGGCTATGGGGGTCTAAGGTATCAGTTCATTCTAGAAAAGTGGTCTCTTGCCCAAAAAAGTTTGGGACTCCCTGTTGTAGATGATATGATGTTATACATTATTATGTGTAACATACATAAATGCCTGTCATGTGTTTGACAGTAAGTTAAAAATAATAAGATTCAAATGCTCAAGACACTGAATATTTTCCTGGTGCCGACGTCAGTTCATTATCTGTTTATATTTAACGTTAATGAACTCCAAAAGAGAGAAATAGCGTTACGTGTAACGGCGAGTAGTTATATACTTACATATGTATAAGTCATTGTATCGTAGTTAGTGCAATATGTTCCCATGTCTGAAATATATATTATGTACTGTTATACATTCTATTTAGAAATATATTGATGAATGGATTCTCAATAAAGCGTCTTTTTTAAATATAAACTTGTTTTAGAGCTTTTCGTTAACGAAACTACTGTTTTGACAAGATATAATAAATTTTATAGTGTAAGTAAATTGTAGTATTTCCTTTAACAACAATCACTGCCATCTGTGTATGAACAGTAAAGTGGCGCCGGGGTAGCGCGGCGCCCTCCACATTCCACGTATTTTGTGTATAAACTTACTGTAAAATAATAAAGTGTTTATTTTAAAATATACGTTTATTTGTACCTTTTATCGACATTATACATTTCATTGATTTTTTTCACAATTAATACATTAGATTACACATAAAATAATATTCATTAATCAGACTCTGGTTGGCAAGTTGGCGCGGAGCGCTCTCGCAGTACGCACACACACATGCACTCACACACACTCATATAGTCAAGCCCACTTATTCACTTACACACATACACGCACGTGTATAGCTACTTACGTGTTACAGCTTTACTAGCGGTTACACAGCACAAGTACAATTAGCGCATAAACTTGCAATAGTGATGCTGTTTTAAACGTTATTTATTTCCCGCGATAATAATTGCAATGGTATATAACAGATATAGGTTGTCATAAATAAAGTCAGGTTTTTTTGTAGGCTCCGGCAAAATACAAACTATTAAATAAATTTTATATACATGTATGTATGGGTGTATGTATTTGGATATTATTATAACTTTACATAAAAAAATCTGGAGTACATAAATTTTAGGTTCATGTTTGTTTTAAATTTCTTTGCAACCATGCGTCTAGTCTCATTTGAAAGTCAACAAAGCGTTCTGTTTAAGGTAATTTTAGTACATACCACCTGCACATTGAACTGTTTGCGTAGCGATACCCCGGTCAGGAGGGTCGAACCTTACTGTGAACAGTGTGTATACGCAGATGAAGTTACCGCTGTAAAGCAGTAACAGTGCTATGTAACACGTAACAAGGAGCTGGTGTAAAGCGGTACTAGACGAACACCCAGCACGTACAACTTGGACTGCCCGGACATATAGCACCGACTCACAACACTGCGGTAGCGGGGCGCCGAGACCACCTCTTACTCAGTTTCATCATTTTAATTTCAGAATTTTTAAGAATGGGAAGGTTAGCGGTTTTAAGGTAAACATTGATAATTGCAAGACCTTGACACTCAGAACTATTTATGTATGATCGTCCAAATCGTATCCAAGTTTATATGTGATCATTAAATTCACTGATATCTGGAGTAGGAAAGTAAACTTAGACGAGCTGCGGTCTCGGCTCTGAAAGCCAGCGTCTGAACAACATCGTGTTATCTCTTGCGGGAGAACTTATTGTATAAATATTTGTATAAGGTAAAGCAGCGGTCTAGCCACGAGATATCGATATCACAAAGTATCTAACGTGTTCGTAAGCGTTATGGCACAGTTGGCGTACAACCACGAACCGTTCGACGCTGGCTCCGAATTCGTTTAACTTCTATTCGTACTTTTCGCAAACGTCTGTTCAAGTGTATACCTAAAACTAAGGCCGCCCTGTACATAATACTGCGGGGCGGGCGACGAACGCTCTTCGTTCTGCGCGACGCCGCTCCGTCCACGGGACGGCGACCATAAATACTTAACATTACTATTTACACTCTTTGAAAAGATAAGGCACTAACGTCGACACATGGAAAGTCAAATAGAACTTTACATCGGATGGAGGGGCGCGGGCCTGTTCAGGCCACGGCGGAGGGCGGCGCGGGTGGAGGGGGCGGTTGAGGACGGGCTCGCGCCGGCGCCAGCACGTTGTGCGGCACGCACACGGTGCGGCCCGCCGCCTGCACGGCCACGTGGCCGCGCCGCGCCGCGCCCACCACCAGCACGGCGTCCCCGGCGCGCAGGCGCACGGCGCCCGACTCGTCCGTCCACTCGGCGCCCACCATGCGCTGCTGCGGGTAGCCCAGCTTCACGCCGCCCGCCACTGTGTACGCGCGCGACGGTGGCAACGGCGGTGGTCGTTCCTGGGGGCATACCGCTCGTTTAATTCGAATCGATCTTTTCCATTGGCGAGGTACGGCAAGTTGTACAATAGAAACTGCTATAAAATTTTGTCGAAATAAAGAGGATATCGGGATTTTTTGCATAGATTAGATAGATGTCATCGTTCACATGGGAGAGCCATGCTTCGACAGATATGAGCCTGGCTCGGCCGGAGTGATACGAGGGCCTCACAGAAAACCGGCATCAAGCTTTTCATCGAGTAAGTGAGGTTACCGGAGACCAAAGCCCGCCTCCCCACCCTTCTTGTCCTGATTCTGAGTTGCAGGTGTCCATGGACGGCGGTCGTCACCATCGGGTGACCTGTCTACTCGGTAGGCCCCCGTATACCATAGAAAAAACAATGGAAATAGAAGCAAGGAAGAATGCATCGGTGGATGTAGTATAAACTGGGACACTTACGAGGTCTAGGCCGAAGAGCGAGCAGGTTCGCTTAACGAGGGCGGGGTCGCACTTGTCGGCGGGGTCGGGTGGTGGCGTGCCGGCGATGGGCGCGGGGCGCGGGCGCGCGGGGGCCAAGGGAGCGGCGGCGGGCGCACGCGCCGCTCGCAGTCGGTGGCGGCGCCACGCTGCCTGGATGCACTCCGCCGCGGCTTGGCGTCGAGCTCGTCGCATGCGCTCCAATACCTGCCGTAGATGTTCAATGTTAAAACGATTGAGCCGTCGCGGTAACATGTGAAACTTCGAAATTATTTTGGAGAAAAAGATAGCTTATGAGAGAAAATATTAAATATGGCACAATTAAAATTATATTATTATTATATTAAATTATATTAAATATTCGATGTAATGTCCGAGAAAACGAGGAGAGTCACCTGTCGCATGCCCTCGCTGAGGAACACGTGTCGCTTGCCGAGCGCCCAGCGCACGGCGGCGGGCGAGGCGGGGGCGGGGGGCGCGGCGGCAGCCTGCACGGCGCGCAGCACGGCGGCGCAGGCGGCGCCCGACTCGCGCTCGGCGCCGCGCCGCCACAGCGCGCGGTAGCGCCCGCTGAACGCGCGGAATCGCATGCGGTGTGGGTACCCGCTCGCCATTAACTGCGTCGTCTCCAGAATTTGCAGTGCGCGCACCTTAAATAAGTTGTAATCGGAATATGTTTATGGTCGAAACATTTATAGTGTTCTTATGTTGCAGACTTTTAAACTAAACTGATTCCACGATAACCTTTCAGCAAACGTGACTTAATAGTCGCTGAACTTTTCACTTTATTCGAAGAGTCCTAAGTAATAAAATAATTTTTGTTCTCTTGTTACAATTATTTAGGATTTATGATGTTTTGTAATGCATTGTATTGTGAAATGATATTTATTTATGTAAGTAAATATTTTTAGATATTTTAAAAGTCGGACTTTCCAGCTGTTTCGGGTGATTGCTTATATTGTCGGATCCATCCGTTTGAGCGATACATTTCCAGCCATTGACTGGAAACGGACTGACGGATGGCGTAGTGGTTTAAGCGGTCGCCACGCCGCTTCCTACCACGCCGAGTGTTGTGGGTTCAAACCCCACATGGGACGACACTTTGTGTGATCCACAAATTGTTGTTCTGAGTCTGGGTGTTCTTTGTGTCCGTTTCATGTATGTTTGTAAAGTCCCCCGCGACACAGGATATATTCCTAATGCGGGAGTTGTCTTTTTTTAAAGAAAAAAAAAAAAAAAGCTAGAAGGCGCCGGTATTTCTTGAGACTCACTCTGGGATCACGCCGAAACAAACCACAGTGGTGTCTTTTTTTTAAGTCCGTGTACAATGTTAAAGAGAGCTATGTAAGTACAGTATAGGGTCTGGGTTGGCCTTTTGAGGAAAGGACCAAAGTTTTCATTCGGCCCGTCCATACAGACGGCATACGGGCCCTAGTCATCGCGTAGCCTAACCGATATAGGCAGGATCAACAACCCGGAACACAATACTACCAACAGCAGGACACTTGAGTAGGCCGTGGAAACTACTAACTACCTAATTTTTCATTAGTTGCAACTGCCGTGAATTGGCCAAAATGTAGTTTTTTAGAAAGCAATTCGTAATGAAGTTAATGTGCATTCCAGAAGATTAGAAATGAATGTGGGTGGCTAGATTCAAACCGCATCACTGACACATTTCAGTTTCTTTCCCAACTTAGTGTTCCTCTAGAGCTCGCCCTTCTTTATTAGATAGATAGATAGGTACTCTTTATTGCACACCATGGATAGAAAACATACAATGCAATATAAACAGAAAATTAAAAAAACAGTGGTACAATGGGCGGCCTTATCGCAGTCTGCGATCTCTTACAGGCAACCTTTAGATGGACTATACTGTATAGTGAAATGTAGTCTGTGGTGCGCATAATATATAAATATAAATACATAAATACAAATTCATACACATACGTACATTCATATAAATATACATATACATACATATATATAGATACATTACATACCTTATAACACATAGTTCTTACAGAGATAAATAGTGATCCTTGACGAGTCTCTTAAAAGTACTCACTGACCGTGCCCGCCTTATAGCTTCCGGTAAGGAATTCCATAGGCGTGCTGCTTGTACTGTAAAGGATGTATCAGTTAAAGTTGTGGAGTGTGTTTTAATTTCTAGTGTAAGATTTTCTGTTGATCTCAAGTATCGTGTATGTGTGTCATGAATAAATGCAAATCGTCTCTTTAAGTAGATAGGAGTTGCAGGATTAAATAAAATATTATACAGTAAAGAGAGGATGTGAGTATTCCGGCGAAGCCGAATTGGGAGCCACTTGAGTTTTCTACGAAATTCGGAAATATGATCATATTTGCGCAAACCAAAAATGAATCTTATACAGAAATTCTGAAGTCTCTCAAGCTTATCGAATTTGTCCTCGTTCAGATCAAGATAGCTGACATCGGCATAGTCAAGGATGGGAAGAAGAATTGATTGTGCGAGCTCAACCCTAGTGGCAGTTGGAAGGAAATTACGTAATCTTCTTAAACAGGCGGCAGAGGCAAACATTTTACGGCTGACATTTTGTATTTGAGCATTCCATGAAAGGGTTTTGTCAACGTAGACCCCTAAATTTTTGACATAGTTGCTAATTGGAATCGTTACGCCTTCAAAAGATATTTGTGGTAGTGCAGTCCAGTCAACTTTTGCGATAAGTCTGGAGCTGCCGATTACTGTCACTTGCGTTTTCCTAGGGTTAACTTTTAGGCCATACATTGTTGTCCACTGATATATGTGGCTCAGATCTCTATTTATGGCGTCAATACCTAGTGGCAGCTCATTAAGATTTGTTTGGTAATATATTTGCAAATCGTCTGCGTACAGGTGGTAGGAAGAGAGAAGTTGATTAGTGATTGTGTTGATGAATATTGAAAATAGTAAAGGGGATAAAACGCCACCCTGTGGCACACCGGCGGACGTATTTGACCAGTTGGAATAGTTGTCATCCAGGCGGGTACGCTGCCGGCGACCAAACAGGTAACCACGAAACCAGTCAATAGCTGATATGATATGTCAATAGGAGATATGTTAAGAGAGTTTAATATGGCAAGGAGAACGTCGAAGTCAACAGAGTTGAAGGCGTTGCTAAAGTCTAATAGACATAATACTGTGAGTTTTCCATTCTCCATACCTGTCTTTATATCGTCCGTAATATTAACGAGAGAGGTAGTTGTGCTGTGGCCGGGACGGAAACCAGATTGGAATGGGTCGTCATTGTTTCATTATTGTTTATAATTATATATACTTACAATTTATAGTACAGTTACGTGTCTACTATCAACTGCATGCACTTTACACTCAGAGCAATCTCAATAGTTTTAAACAATAATTATCAATTTTTATAATAAAAAAAAGCCGAGTATCGTTAAATATCGTTTGTCCGTGTGGTGACGGATTAAGAATACAGAGTGTCACCACCCCTATTCCTCCCGTGGTTGTCGTAAGACTAAGGGAGCAAACAACGCAAAAGAACAGCACTGCAAAGCGTAGGAAAACTTGAAACAAACCCTATGCCCACCCGTCTGGCCAGTATGGTATAGTAAGCCAAAACCTCCTTTCTAAGGAGAGGCCTATGTCCAACAGTGCACTTTTAAAAGTCTGTAGCTGATGATGATGATATCATTAAATTCATTTAGGATAGGTAGACATACTTGTCGGGAAACGGTAGCTCGTTCAAAGAGCATGGGTGTCTCAGTGGCGTTGGCGCGCAAACATCGCACGAAGTGGGGCCGCGCGTGCACGAGCGTACGCAGCAGGTTGTCCAGCCGCGTGTGAAAGTCTTGCGTCAACGTCGACGAAGCCGCCGCGTCCAGCGCCGCCGTCACCGTCGGCGAAGCACGGAACTGACCCCCCGTCGGGCCTCCCTGTGCCGTCAAAGCCTGGAGACGCAGAGTCAATGTAGGTTTCGAAAAATATGTACAAGCGCTCTCCCTGATTCCAGGTGAGGAGGGGGAGGGGGCCCAAAGGGCAGCTGTAGCTGTCTATGGGAGGCGGTAGTCACCATCAAGTGATATGTCTGCTCGTTTGCCCTCTATGAAATAAAAAAGGAGATGTATCACAAAGATGGCAGTTTCTTATTTTATGTACCTTGAGTTCGGCACCAAAGAGATGCGTTGCAAAACCAAATTCGCAAGTCCTGTTGTCGAAAGCGGCCAGCAAGTCGTCAGGTACGGCATCGCGGTTAGCCTCGAGGAAGTCCGCCGCGTCATACGACACCTCGCCCGCATAGTGCCGCACTGCGAAGCGTCGCGGGTGTGGCGGGCGGGCCTCGGCCAACCTCGGGTGACCTCTGCAATTTGAGTGGTGAGTCAAACCAAATGTAAACATTACTATTAGGAGTACTAGGACTCACTTTTTAGTAGACACCTTATCACCTTTGTGACCGCTTTGAATATCAATGATAAAGATAAAAACAATTTACACGATTTCAAAGTACCTGTGTGCAGATTTTATTCTTGTGACGTATTGCTCGGGAGTACCACGCGCAGCACACTCGGCATCGAGGGCGGCGAGTAGGCCCCCGCGCAGCGACGACACTAGGTCGATGCACGGCACGTTGTCCACGTAGTCTAACTCAAGTGCGCACGAGACGCCTTCCTCGCGACACGATTCCGCCGACGATTTGAACACGTGAGTGTTATAAAAGTGTTGCATCGTCTCCGCGCATAAATTAGCACATAGGTGCTCTAGCCGGCTCGGCGCCGCGTCCTCGAATCCGAACATGTCCAAGATGCCGACGAAGCCGTCGGTCGCGTGTCGCACCGCATCGTTGAGCACGGCCATCGAGCGGGCCCCGGCGCGACTCCTCGCTCCGCCTCCGCCGCTGCCGCCGGCCGACGATGCTCGCCGTGATGCCGCATCTTGATTATGAACCGATTCATTAGAATCGGACGAAAGCGTACCCAACGTTGAACCGAGACGTTTCAAGGAGTTGGCGCGACGAACTATAGTTGCCACGGTGCGGCAGTACAGCGCCTTCGCGAGCGCGTCCCGCGCTGCCGCAGCGGCTGGAGGCGTGGCCGGGGCGCGAGTAGGGGCGCCTCTTGTTCGCGGTGCGGCGCGCGACACCAGTCCTCGGAGAAGAGCCGGTGCAGCGACTCCCAGTAATGCGGCTGCCGCCGCGAGCTCCGCCTCGCTTGTGGGCTCGGCTGAACCGTCGCCACCTTCCGTGAACTGTACGTTGCCTAGCAGCAATACCGCAGCGAGGACACGGACGACATCCAAGAAAGGTATGCCGAGAATTACGAGACACGTTTTCCAAGCGTGAAATCGCGCCGCGTCCTCTGGCTCCGGTCGACGATGATGTGCCGATGCCAGGTACCTGATGAATAATAATTAAGTAACGTTATGATTATACGGCTAACTGAGTTCCAGGAAGTGAGTAATACTTGTTAATGTATGTAGTAGGACTAAAGTGTTGTATGTATTGATGTTTAAGGTGAAGTTGAAGGTTACCTCAAGTCCTGCGGTGAGTATCCCTCTAGATGAAGTTGGGAGCGCTCCTCGGGCGTGAGTCCGGCGAGCATTTGGTAGAAGATGTGATAATTGCGCTCCCCAGCGGGCGGACGCACCACTCGCGTTTGATCGAGAAAGTAGCAGTGTATTTTAGTGCGGTACAGTGCGCCATCCGTTACTTGTACCTCGATGAAATGACCCTGATGTATTGTTTAGAGGTTTAATTAAGATTATACATATTATTAAACATTATTTTTTTGACATTAAATTTGGTGTCTTAAATTATGATACGAATTTATACAATTCTCTAAATTATCTAATGGTAGTGGGTAACGCAGACTATGAGGATGAATTTATAGAACTCAATTTTGAAATGCCTGTTCCTACATTACTGCATGATAATTTGCATACATAACGCGGAACACAGTATGTACCTTTCTGTAAATTACATCATACCATTAACCTATGTTCACAATAGGTAAATAAATTGAAAATAAGTTGAAAAAAAAATGATATAAGAGCTAAACTCTTGTCATCCCAAAAAGGACAAGAAAATTTGTAATTTGTAAATTTATATGAGATTTATTATTGATTACAAATCTGTACACGCGGCGATGACCGATCGCGAACTATCTATAATTTCACACGCGGTTCGGAAAATGCTGACACAATGAAATTATTTATTGTACGGTTAGGCCGTACAATTGTACAAAATGCACAAATCACCCCAATGTTAAAACACTGAGGATTATAAAAACAAGAGGGATAAGTTGTACACTTACAATCCTGCTGGAATGAGTATTGGCGGGCGTCGCGGCGGTGCCGAGCGCTCGCAGTACAGTGAAAGCAGCAGCAAGGTGCTTGAACGCATCAGTTTCAGGCCCGCCGCCTGCCACATCGAATAACCGCCGCAGAAGTACCATGGATGCGTAGGTTTTGCCCGAACCTGATACTCCTGTGTAGTACAACCATTATATAAAACCTTTTATAAAACTCAGAATCTACTACGACTGTTTTGAATTGGAACAAGGCGTTTCAATAAATTACGTCTCGATGATAAGGTTAGTCTTGAGATTTACCTGAGAGAATGATGGCCTGCGGGTAGCCGGTGTCGGCCTGGTGGCGAACAGCGTCGTGCACGAGTCGCGCCAGTTCTGGCCGGTGTGCACGCGCCGCCGTTAGCGTCAAAGCATTACACGCATCTGTGTACGGGTTCACTGCCACCAGGATTGGTCCTATCATCGTCTGAAATGTAAAACACATCCCATTCTTACTTTAAGTCGCATATTCACAAATAAAAATTTTAAAATCTGTGAATCACAATCTACTGTTTGCTTTCGCATTGTGACCAATACGACCATTGGCTCTCAGAACAACTGGTGTCCTTGTCACGTATCCCAAGTCAATTGGAATCTGGGTGAGGCCATAAATCTAAGCCAAACCCTTCAACTGGGTCTGGCACAGAGGTCTTATCGTGAAGCTGATATTATATAGGTTTTTTGCGGGTTTATATAATACGAAAGCCTTTTATCAGAATCATTCAAAGTTTGGTGTATCAAGTCCTCAATATTATCATTGCAACGACGTAAACATCGGCATTTTAATAGGCTTCAATAGGTGTCCTTTCGTTGTTCCTACTGCATAACAATAAAATACTGTGTCTAAATCGCTTCTGCGAGTTGTAAAGAAATGTAATAAAGGTTAAACCGGAGACAGTAATGAGGTATATCACTTACATAAAATTTATTGTGGTAGAAGCGCGCCTGTAGTGCGCGTACAACGGCGTCCTCAGTGAGAGGCCCGCGCAGGTGGATGAGGTCTTCTACGTCGACTCCCGCGCTGCTCGCGCTCGGCGCCCCTGTGATCACGTTGGCACCGGGCGTAGGCGCAGCTGGCACACTGCGCCATCGCGTCTCTGCACGTTTCATCAAACATAGTGAAAATGTAGTAAACGCCTGCCCTACTGGCTTCATGAGTCAATTTTGGTATTTTCATATTTAATGTGATAGCACTCCAGCTGTATGATATCGGTTGATGAATTTATATAGGTATAATTAGTCTTTAGTATGTCAATAAAAAGGTATGTTGAGGTTACCTGGAGGTGGCGGCAAAGGATGATGCGGTGCAGGCGGTGGCTGCGGCGGCGCTGGGGGTTGCGTGGCAGGCGGCGGCGGAAGAAGGTGCGGCGCGCGGGGTGGCACGGCGGGCTGCGTGGCCGCGCCTGCGCCCGCGGCCCCCGCCGCTGCTACAGCCGCCGCGCCGCTCGCTCCGCCCGCTCCCCCCGCACCACTCGCGCCCACGTGCAGGTGGTTGCGGAGCGTTACCAGCTCCGAACTTAGGCTCAACAGTCGCCGTTGCAAATGCACCGCCTCGTTGGAGGATGACGCGTCTGTAATGCAAGTGACATTTACATTTAATCAATTTTGGCCGAAATAGGTACAGACACGTCTTACTCTAAATACAGTCAATCAATACTGAATTACAGCCAAAGGTGTTCTCTCCCACTCTCTAATTCAAGTACGGACACAAATGACAATAAGTGATGTAGCGCTATATCCGACACCACCGCGACGCCAGTTGGGCTGAGTACGAAAGTAATTGATGTTGTTTGTAAACCAGAGTTGAAAAGAGCTAAATGTGCAGTTAATAATTATAAAATAGAAACAGTACATTATTAAACTACTAAATGTGTGTGTACTAGGTACTAAATGTGCCGAAGGTTTGTTTGACCTTGTAAACCCTAATCTGTATAATAAAAAACTGCTAAACTAGCCACTACCAGAACACCACACAAGGCTATTTGGCTGAGATAGTCTGTAGGCTATAGATACTTGCTGGAATTCTGATTGGACCAATGATATGTACAGTCATCAACTGAATTCACAGAATGTAAAAGGGAAAATATTAAATAAAATATCGATGTTAACAAACGGCGAAGAGAATGATCATCTGATTATATTATGATGGGTTATGGAGACTGCGGCCGAGGAGAGCCGCGGGCTGCGCGGCGCCGGAGTGTAGAGACAACCGGTCGTCGGCGCGGGTGCCGGCCCAAATTCGCCCTTTAACTAAACACCATAACGTCCTAAATGAAACCGCGCGTGACGCAAGTGCAACGTCAAAAACCTTTTTATTAGGTAGTGCGCGATCGAAGGACACCACCTCTCCCCGTGTGGCCGCGTTCCCCACCTCTCGCTCGTCCCATCTCACCGTATTTAAGAGAGCTTTCGTTGATTCAAGCGAAAAGGATTCCTCGTGAAAGTTGAAGCGTTCGTGATGGAAACTCGCACAGGTGACCGGCGGCGTACCGCGCACTTCCTGGGTGCAGACCACCTTGTTTACAAGTACATTGCAAATTTAAAAATGGTAAGATTTATTACCATTTTTGGGAACGGTTAGTTTAAAATATAAGTTCTAAGTTTTAGTCACTACACAATCATAATAATGACACCAAAGACAATAATGTACCTATGTAAAATGCGACAAATATTCTGCATAACTACCTTAACAAAATTGTCTAGGAGGTACATATATCTACGATATGTTTTGGTCGCATGCAACTCAAAATATCTTTATTTCATAAAGATTTTTAAAATTGTTTGAAATCGTCTCTTATACTCGCATAGACTTTAAAGTCATAGATCAACACGCAGAATAGCATCAATCTCGGTTTTGTCAAATATTTAGCAAATTAAATATAATATATACGTTTCTAAAATCTATTATATGCCTCTGCCGATCTACAACCACCCGCTTCGTAACCAATGACCTATTATTCATTTTAGAATGGAGAGTTTCGTTTTCACGTGCCAAGGATGGTGAAAACGTTGACGGGGTAAGAGAAATGTTTTCTGTTATGTTCAGAAAACCTAAAACTCAGAAGAGGTTCTGCAATGTTAAAAAAAAAAACACTGGGAAACCAGATCAGACGGTAGTTAGCTAATAAGTTATATTGACACTATTGATCTATGATTAGCTTAAAAATATTTACATTAAGCCATACTCAAACGATGTACGTACTATGGACATGCATTCTTCATGAAATTCCTCAGAACCATCGCCTACTGGAAGCTTTCCCAGAGCGTTGGCAGCATCGCCTTGTCGAATGGCAATAGTAATTCTGTTTGCCAGAAAAAAGCCTGCTTTGTGGTCTCGGTAAGTGTCATGAAAGTTCGTCGTTGCTCCTACAAGTCAGACGTGTGTCAGCGCTTACTAAAAATTAGCCAATATAACCTATATTCGAATATAACCTATATTTTGATGACTATATAACTCAAAGTGTGAAAATAACTGTATTGTAATTGCAACATTACGCTCCTGTGTCCTACGCCGTCAGGACCGGCAGCCCGTGCGCAGCGACGCCCGTTCGCCCTCGCTTCACCCCCGTGTGAGTAGTACAGTTGCTATTTTTTGACTCGCTCGCACAGTGACTCTGCGTTCATCGATATACACGCTGTACAGAGCACCACACAACTTCGTTCCTATTACATACGCGCGCCTGTACAACATAACATTAACTTGCGCTGACTACTGTTGCTACACTATTATGAGTGTACAGAGATCGCCACCCCGGCAGTCAACCGGCAGCGCCGTAAACATGGGCGGTGGTTCACATCCTGATCTATCGAAGTTAAGTACGCTTACTGTTGATTCACAAATAACTTTCCGAAAGAGAAAACAACCCGAACAAGAATGTGAATGCTCTAATGATATCAAGGACATTAGGTCGGAGTTGGTACGAATCAGTTCATTATTAGAAAAGTACGTTGGATCTAATGAACAGATTATGAATAAAATGCAAGAAAGTTTGTCTGAGGTCAAGTCACATATTTCTGAGCTAAAATCATTTAACGAACAAACTGCACACCTGATCCGTGAAAATGCAACACAGATCAATGATATTAAATTATCCATGTCCAGTATGGCAAACAAACAGAAAGACTTACAAACACACATGTCACAATTACAAACACAACTATCTCAAGGCAATGATAAAATTAAATCCCTCGAGTCAAATGTCCACGCGCTAAAGATATCGTCTGATTCCTCGACATCAAATAACAACCAGCTTCCTCTGCATGAGCATATAATCAAAGAGGTATTGGATCGCAATAGTAGAGAAAAAAACGTTATTATAATGGGGTTGACTGAACAATCTTCTACGAGTGCGGTGGAGAGAGCAACTAAGGATGAAGCCGATTTTCTAAAAATAACTACATCGGTTGGTCTTGACCTCCCTAAACCAACTAGGATATTTCGATTAGGGAAATATCTGCCTGGCAAAGTCCGCAGAGTAAAGTTGTGTTTTGATGCCTCAGCACCAGTCAAACACCTTCTCCGTAACAAAGAGAAATTGCCAGAAAACATCAAAATATTCTCAGACCAAACTCCAGCTCAACAAAAATACCTAAAAAATGTAAAGGATGAACTAACACGTCGTCAAAACGAAGGAGAGAATGACCTCACAATTAAGTATGTAAATGGCACCCCTACTATTGTTAAAACTACGCCAAAAAACTAAACACGGGCAATAAAACTGTAGATATGTTAAGCAATACCTATCAAGTAATTACCAACTACCATGACGTTACAACCAATAAATCACGTCTTAGATTTTTCTACTTTAATGCCCGTAGCATATGCAAAAAAGGAAAGCTTGATGAGCTTAAATGTATTCTTCAGTCTCTGCCTAACACGATACACCTTATTTTACTGACTGAAACATGGATTAGCACTGAATTTCAAGCCATGCAACTACAGATAAACAACTACACACACTACTACAACTATAGGACAGACTCTAGAGGCGGTGGAGTCTCTGCGTATGTCCATAATGATTTGAGGCATAGTTTATCAATGTCCAAGTATGAAGGAGGGAACAATTACTTATGGATTCGCTTAGATAGATACGCTCTAGATGTGGGTATAGTGTACAACCCCGGTGATACGAATTTTAAGGATTTCTTGCAAGTTTATGACGATCAACTACAACAAAAGAAGCGAGCTATAGTATTTGGGGACTTCAACATTGACCTTCTAACTAAAGACAGCAAAACAAAACAATACAAACAACTTGTAAATGCAGCCGGACACACACTACTAAATAAAATCAGTAAAAAATTCTGCACAAGAGACTCAAAAACTAGAAAATCTATACTCGACCATGTCAGCTCTAACCTTAAAAATGATAATTTTCATATGGCAATAATCGATTCATCAATGTCCGATCACAAACAGATATTTGTTGAAATAAAAAAAACGAAATCCCCACCAAAAATTAGAACCCGATACGAAGCGATAAATTACACAAAGCTACAGAGCCTCCTGAAATCAGCAAATATTGAAGAACTGAGTGACGACTACACCCTACTAGAAAGCAAAATAAAAATGATGATAGACAGAAGTAAAACAATTAAGACAAAAATCCTAAATACTCCACAAAGCGACTGGATAAACAAAGATATAATAAACAGCATCAATCAAAGAAACAAGCTTTGGACCACACTTAAAGAAAACTCACATAACAACAACCTCAAAGCAGAATATTTTAAAAAGAAACAACAAGTATTTGCACAAATTCAAAACACAAAGGATTCATATTACTACAAGAAATTTAATGACTGTATTAATAAGCCAAAAAGAATATGGAACCTAGTAAATGTATTAGCGAATAACAAGATCAAACAAATTAGTGCTCCTTCAAAACTGCTTATTGATTCAAAATATGTAACTGACGAGAATGACATGTGCAAAATTTTTAATAATTACTTTGCTACTATTGGCCCACTATTAGCAAATAACATACCCAAAAATTTCCATGACAACTCTTCTCGCGCTCTTCCTTGTAATCCCCCTAGTGACACTCCAGTTTTATCTAGGCTATATCCGTGTTCTGAGGCTGAAATTTCTAAAATAATAGAGAAACTCGACTCCAACTGCAGTACTGGATTAGATGGTGTAAACACTAAAGCAATAAAAAGTATAAAAAATCTAATAGCTAGCGCCTTGAGTAAATGCTTCAATAAACTTCTGTTCACTGGAAAATTTCCTGATACCCTAAAAATGGCAAAGTTACACCTATCCATAAATCCGGTACAACATCAGACCCCGGCAACTATAGACCGATCTCGGTGCTACCCGTTCTATCAAAAATATTGGAAAGAATTTTGTATAGCCGTTTAGAAAAACATTTAACTTCTTTTAATTTTATATCTGACAGACAATATGGATTTAGACCAAAGAGTAGCACACTTTCAGCAACTATCGACCTTGTAACAAAAATAAAACATAATATAGATAGCAAAAATATAGTCCTAGGTATTTTTATCGACCTAAAAAAAGCATTCGATACTGTATCGCATAAAATCCTGTTAAAAAAGTTAGAATTGT